CTTAACAACAACAACAACAACAACAACAATTTTTAAAATGAAAGCGCAGTGGCTCTATAGGATAAGTACCTGATTGCAGACCACAAGACTGGTGATTAGAATCCACTAGCCACTCTGTGGGAGAAAGGCTTTCTGCTTCTGCAGAAATTTACAGCCTTGGAAACCCTACACAGAGATGCTTTGAGTGAACTGACTCTATGGCGATTGACAACAACAGTCTTTGAAAGAAAACAAATAACTTGCAATGTTGTTATTTTTGTTGTTAGTGCCATCGAGTTGGTTCTGACTCATAGAGATCCTGTATAGAGTTTCTGAGGAGCTGCTGGTGAGTTTGAATTGCCTACTATGTGATTGAAACCAAACTTGTGGTCTAGTGTGTATCCTCCAGCACCATATCAGGACTCCAGCTTGCAATGTTGTTGTTGTTGATAAGTGCCATCATGTTGGTTCCAATTCATAATGACCCTGTCTAGGGTTTCTGAGGAGCAGCTGGTGAGTTTGAACCAACAACCTTACATGCAAACCAACCTTACTGTTCAGTGCTTATCATACAGTGCATGACTTGCAGTTGTTGTTGTTGTGTGCCCTGGAGTCGATTCCGACTCATAGTGACTCTGTACAGGGTTTCCGAGGCTGTAAATCTTTATGGGAGCAGAACAGCTGGTAGTTTTGAACTGCTGACCTTGAGGTTCGCAGCCCAGTAGTGTCAGCAAAAAAAACCAAAACCTAGTGCCATTAAGTTGTTTCCTACTTGTAGTGATCCTGTCTAGAAAGGGTTTCTGAGACTTAAGTTTTTATGGTAACAGCCAGCCTCATCTTTCTCCTGAGGAGTGGCTGATGGATTTAAACCATGATATTGTGGCTAGCAGCCTAACCCACAAAACCACCAGGGCTCATTGCAATAGTGTTTGTTGTTGTTGTTGGTCTGTGCCATCAACTCATAGCAACCCCATATAAGGTTTCCAAGAGCAACTAGAGGGTTTGAATTACCCACCTTGCAGTTAGTTGTACAGTTCTTACCCTGCTGAGCCACACCAAGACTCTACTGGGGAAGAAGAAAGGAAAGAATGAGGCTAAGGGCAGTTAAAATTTAAATTGACTGCTTACTCTTACTAAGCATTGTAAATCTAAAGAGAAAAATGCAATCTTGAAAGCTTTAATCAGAGAAAAAAAGTATTATTTTAAAAGTGACAAAACTTCTCATTCAAACTTGCTTCTTGAGTCACTACACATCAAGGTAAGGATGACATTGTGAAAGCCACAGTTGTTAAACACACAAGGGGTTCAACAAATGAAAGACATTGTTTCACTACTAAGCAGTGGGAAAACCACCAACCATTTCTTGGAGAGTAGATAAACATGTCTGAAGTCGCTAAGGGTTTTCCATCCTTGTGTTGTATGAAAACCCCAATTAGAAATCTTAGTAATGAAAATAATGTAACATTATGAACTCACTGAATGGACTAAATGGTAGACTGAAGCCAGCTGAAAAGTATAGCTCTCTCTGAGGCCTTCTGGAATGTACCACAAAGATAAATGGAAAGTATGAAGTAAATGTTAAGAAAACATGACAGATAGATCCAAATTGCTATCTAATTAGAATATTAGAAAGAGAATGAAGAAAATGCAGGAGAAGCAATGTTTAAAGTCTGTGTGACTAAGAATTTTCCCACAACTAAAGAGAAATTTCTAAATACTGAGGAGGAATAAACAAAAATAAAATGATATACCTTGACACGTTATAGTAAAACTTCAAACAATGACACTAAATAGAAAATCCTAAAGTCTTCTAAGAGGAAAAAATAAATTTACCTACAGAGGAAAAATAGTAATAAAGTAGAGCAGTATCTTCCAAGTACTCAGGAGGATAACTCTCAACCTAGAATTTCATGCAAGCATGAGGGAAAAACAAAGACCTCAGAGACAAGGACTCAAGATAACAACCATAGGTCCTTGTTGAAAGAACTTCTAAAAGATAAAATCCAAGAAGATATAAAAACTTGAAGCTGTGAGCTAAGTCCTACCATGTTCAATAGACTCCTGTGAACCCAGGTGGAGACCTGGTTGGCCAGCAGTGTGACAAGACTGGGGACAGCTGGGCCCAGAGTCAGTGACATAGCCACAGAGGACTAGAGTGGAGAGTGAAGCATCCAGCTGATAAGAAGTGAGGGCATATGCACAAGAACACCCACACTTAAAGATAATACCCACTTGACCTGGCTTCAATGGCTGGATGATCAGAGCGCAACTAGAAGAAGAAAGAAGCGTAAAAAAAGAGTAATCTGATATAATTTCATGAACTTGACGTACACCTATGGCTGCAATAGCTCAAAAGAAGGAACAAATCTTTACAGCGAGGATCATTCCCATCCCCTCCATATACAGGGTAGACAGGGATGAGCAATTTGGACATTGGCTACCCAAAATGGAGTGGAGGGGGGAGGACTACAAAGGCAAGTGACTGGCTTACAAGCTTTCAAAAGGGAGCCTAGATCCAGAGGGTGCAGGAGAAGATAGAATATTCTCTCCACTGAGTAGTCTCCAATCTGTCTGGGTGGGGCTGATGAAAGGAGATGGGGATAGGTCTCTTGTGGTACAATAGTGAATAATTGCTATCAGTGTACTGACTGTGAGGGTTGGAAATGTAAAGGTAGATGTTTTATAGCAAAAGGAGGGGAGTGGTTGACTTTACAGTCGAGGAGCGGAGGTCCCTGAGACCATCAAGGGAGAAGAGTGTGGGACCCTACCCAGAGAAATAGTGACACCAGAGATGGAGGCAGAGACGGTGATGTGGAGAGATGGAATGGCTGGGGACTCTAGGCCCAGAGAGGCAGAGGGGCTGTGTGCTGACAACCGAGGGGCAGGCTTATGAGGTATACCCTTTGGTTGTTTGATGATGCATGAAGGGGATTGTAACCATGGCAATGAAATGATATACCGATAGGATGAATGTAAAGCTAATGTTCTCCCATGTCAACTATCACATAATTCACAATAAAACATAAAAAAAGATACAAAAACTTTAAAAGAAATAGCAAATTGCCAGAAACATTGGTGCACAAAAAAATCAGTAAAGCATATTGATGGATCTGAATAATTATTGATTGGAAATAAATATATTTACGTTTATTTTCATATCAAGCTAGAACTAATTCTAGAAGGTAATATGAAGAGAAAGAAAGAGAAGGGAGTTTGGGTATGTTTGGGAGTAAGAGGGAGAACAAAGGGGTAACTACTAGCAAAATAGAAATAGCATATACAGTTCAAAACCATAGAGGGGGATGGAACAAAAGGTAACTAAATGAGTATGACACAAAGCAGAACTGAGAGGAAAAGATACTGTGCTTTTCCATGGTAATAGTAAAAACAAGCCTAAACATATCTGTGATCAAGTTATATTCTGTTTCTACCAGCTATACTTAAAAACGCATCAGTACATTGAAAGTGGTAGTAGTGTGCCAACTAGTCCGTTTCCCTCTCAGCAACCCTGTGTAGGATTTCTGAGGCTATAAATCCTTATGGGAGCAGAAGGCCTCATCTTTTTCCCAGTGGGTGGATTTGAACTGCTGACCTTGCAGTTAGCAGCCCAACATGTAACCCACTATGCCACCAGGGCAACTTAAATTAAAAGTAAAGGGCTAGAACAAGCTATATAACAGACAAATCTTTTTTATACCTGAATTGATTAGTCTCCATTCTGATCCTCCTACTTCCATTCCTGCTCTCATCACATCTGTTTTTCACACAGTAGCCCAAGTGATCCTTCTAGAAGTGTAAATCAAATTACTTGACTTGCCTTTATTCAAAACCCATCATACTCAGGATAAAATTCAAAAGCTCTAAGATAGCCCCAAAGACTTTCTGGGATCTGACCTTGCTGGGTATGCATTATATATATATATATTTTGTTGTTAAGTGTTCTTGAATCCGTTTCAACTGATATCAACCCTATATAGAGTTTACAAAGAGCAGCTGGTGAATTTGAGCTGCTCACCTGCCAGTTGTCAGTTCAGTGCTTATCCTACAGTGCCACATCAGGACCCATTACTAAATCTGGTTTTGTCATCTCACAAAAATTTTTTATAAGGGAGTCTTTCTACAATCATTAAATTAATTTTACATAAATTATTTAGATAGCTTCCGGAGAATATATTGCCACAATATGAGGACAGGAAATGCTTAGTGACTTCAGACATGTTTATTTACTCTCCAAAAAATTGTTGGTGGTTTTCCCACTGCTTAGTAGTGCATTAAACGTAAACGTGTTATTGCTCATGTATAGACTTGCTGAGTCTGAACCAGCTCAACAGCACTTAACACCATCTTTTATGGATTGTTCTGCTTATTTTGATATTTCAACCCTGCCCTGCTTATTTGGACCTTGCTTTGTGTTTAAATATGATAGATATTGCCTAGCATTAGTGTGGAATCCTTGTGTGGCACTGCAAGTTAATGTACTAGACTGCAAGGTTGGTTTGAAACACAGGGTTGGCAGTTCAAGCTCACCAACCATTCCTTGGAAACCCTATACAGGTTCGCTATGAGTCAGAACCAACTCGACGGCACTTAAACAACAACAACATTAGTGTGTCTTATCTACTTAGCCATAAAGTTCTGAATGTGATACTATTTCTCTAGATCCTGGTTTGTTGTTGTTAGGTGCCCTCGAATCCATACTCACTCATAGTGACCCTATGCACAACAGAACGAAACATGGCCTGGTCCTTTGCCATCCTCACAATTGTTATTACACTTGAGCCCATGGCTACTGCCACTGTGCCAATACATCTCATTGGGTATCTTCCTCTTTGTCACTGAACAGCAAGCAGCAGAACTTTGTCAGAGCCTGATTATCACATAACAAGTTATATGTAAAATGCTTGCTGTATGAATAGATAAAATGTGTTCTTTATAGTAAAAATAATAAGGTATCTTGTCAAACCTTGTATAACTCTTTTTTATTTTATTTTTTTTTGCTTTTGTTCATTTATTTTCTGCAGTTTGGAGTGTTTATATCTTGGAGGAAATTTCATCAAAGAAATCCCACCAGAATTAGCCAATCTGCCTTCTCTCACTTACTTGGTGTTATGTGACAACAAAATCCAAAGTGTGCCTCCTCAGCTTTCACAGTGAGTAGTTTAAGGCAGATTATGTATACACAAAAATCCATATCTAAAATGTTCTGCATTCACTAATATGTTTTATATGTAGAAAAGAATTAAGTGTTCTCAAAGTAAATGACAAGGAGAATTAGTTCTATGGCTTACTGTGGAGTTGGATTGCTTATTTTTTGTTATGTTTAAACATTCTGGTATATTTTTCAAAAATATCTGTTCAGTCTAATCCAAATAAGAGCATAAATTTGGCATTAATTTCCCTAGTCTTATGTGACTTTTTTAGTGCTTTTATATTTTATAGGAAGCATCCTGTCCTACTTAGGCTTTTTAATGTGAAGGATCTTGATTTACATTGCATTTGGAATCTTTTATTTTTAGGTATCTGAATTATATAGCATGTCAACAACAACAAAAGTCCCTAAATCTATTATTTAGAAACTTAGGGGTGTAGTGGTTAAGCCCTTAGCTGCTAACCAAAAGATTGACAGTCTGCTTCCATAAAGATTACGGTCTTAGAAACCCTATGGGGCAGTTCTACTCCCACATAAAGGATCACTGAGTCACAATTGACCTGATGACAACAGGTTTGGTTTGGTTGTTTTGAAAGATTCCATAGGCAAAAGTCCATGACATTGACAAATCTACACTCTGATCTTGTTCATGAAGTATCTTCTTATTTTACTTCTATTGACCTTAATCTTAATTGTTCATCCTTATGGAAAAATACATATACAAAGATTTCTAAAGAAAAATACTTAACTTTTTTGATAATGTTGCTTAGTGCCATCAATTTTTGCACTTTATTCATTCCAGGTTGTATTCACTTCGTTCCTTAAGTCTTCACAATAATTTGCTGACATACTTGCCTCGAGAGATCCTCAACCTTATTCAGTTGGAAGAGTTGAGTTTGCGAGGAAATCCATTAGTTGTTCGTTTTGTTAGAGATTTAACTTATGACCCTCCAACTCTCCTGGAATTAGCTGCACGGACTATTAAAACCCGAAACATTTCCTACACTCCCTATGATCTTCCTGAAAATCTTCTGAGATACTTGGCTTTAGCCACCAATTGTCCAAACCCAAAGTGTGGAGGTAAGTTGATTCATTGTTCATATTTTGTATGCATTTAGCCATAGTCTTGATCATCTAAGTATTGTTATATTTAATTAAAATGACTTCTGAGTTGGTCTATGTTTCTGTTTCAACTTTTTCCTACAAAATAAGACAGTTTACCCTCTGTGGGTTCTTTTCCTTAGGATTCATGCACAAGGAAGAATATACCCACAACATCTCATCCTGTTTTGAAATTCTTTTGAGATAGTAAAGTGATAAAATGAGAGGAAGCACAAAGGAAGCATTGTTGTTGTTGTGTTGGTAAGTGCTGTATAGGATTTCTGTGGAGTTACTGGTGGGGTTGAACTGCTGATCTTGTGGTTCGCAGTCCAGTGCTGATCTACAGTGCCACACCAGGAATACAAAGGAAGCATAAACTATTCTAATTCTTGTTTTGTTTTTTAAGTTTTTATTGTGACTTGAGTGATAGTTTGCATGGGGGAGTATCAGTTTTACACTCATCCTGTTGTATTTCATTTCATTGCAATGATTACAATCCCCTGCATGCTTCATCATTCAACAGTATTTGCTTGTATTCCCTCTGTTTTTTTTTTTATGTGCACCAAAACACTCAGGAATATACAATCATTCAAACAAAGGGCACACCCTGCAACCTTGTGCAACCCCCCCCCCACCCCCCCGCCCAGCTGCCAGCACACGCCCTCTCTCCCTCCATGAGTCTAGAGTCCTCAGCTGTTCCGTCTCTCCATGTCATCATCTCTAGGTAGGATCCTACACTTTGCTCCCACTCTTCTCCCTTGATGGTCCCAGGGTCCTCCACTCCAGAACTGTAAGATCAACCACTCATCCCTTTTTGTTACAAAACTTATATACCTTTACAGTTGCGACAATCGTAATTAGTCATGATAACAATTACTCACTATTGAATCATAAGAGTCTTGTCCCCATCTCCTTTCACCAGACATGTCTAGACAGGATGAAAACCACTCAGTGGGGACTCTACCTTCCCCTGTACACTCTGGACCACTCGTAAGCCAGTTACTTCGTGCCTTTACCCTATTTCTTGTTTAAAGTATCGCAAATGTTTAGGAGCCTTGATAGCATAGTGGGTTATGAGTTGGGCTGCTAACTACAAGTTCAGCAGTTTGAATCTGTCAGCTACTTTGTAAGAGAAAGATGAGGCTTTCTGCTCCTGTGAGGATTTACAGCCTTGGAAACCGTATACAGGGTCGCTATGAGTTGGAACTGACTCAGTGACACACAACAGCAACAAGTTGATTAAAAATAATTTTATTTCCTGTTAGACATTTTGTTGTTATATAGGAGTAGTCTTGCAATTCACAAAATAGTATTGTGTTATTTTAGCTCATGGACTGTCTTTAATGCTTGCTTTTTATTATTTCCAACTATTTTTAGGAAACAACACATTTTGGGGGTGTTCTTATATTAAGGAGTGTGGTAGCTTTGTAGGATAAACACTGGACTGTGAACCACAAGATCGGCGGTTTGAGCCCACCAGCCTCTCTGCAGGAGAAAGATGAGGCTTTCTGCTCCTGCAAAGATTTACAGCCTCAGAAACCTATACTGTAGGATTTACTATAAAATTGTGAGGAGCTATTTGGGGGGAAAAAATTAGAAAACTGTTTCTTCTTTGTCTGAACCACATCTTTCTATTTTGGTGCCTTGTGTATTACACACAGAGCAATTGTGCCACGGGAAATTTAGACGAGATTCCTACACAGAACGGCAGTGAGATCGAAAGTGTTAGATGTTCTAGTTATCTGCAGTCGTTGTGATAACTTGTGTGTATTATACTGTCTCTAAGCTTGTGTGTGTGTGTTGTGTGTCTAAGGGTCAGCTAGAACACAAACACAGCAACAGCTGTTTCAGCTTTAGCTGAGAGATGTGTTTTTCAACTCCTTTTAAGTCAGATCCCTAATTTCTCCTATGTGAGGCCAAATTGCCACCCCTAAGACTTACTGGAGTCCTGTGTGGCAGTGCAGGATAATATGCTAGACCACAAAGTCCGTTTGAGCTACAGGGTTGGTGGTTTAAACCTACCCGCCACTGCTCAGAAACCCTATACAGGGTCGCTATGGGTCGGAACGACTTGACAGCTCTTAACAACAACAAGACTTTATTGGGAGTGCAGTGTCTCTGTAGGATAAGCACAGGACTGCAATCCACAAGATTGGTGGTTTGAATCTACCAGCTGCTCCATGGGAGAAAGAGGTTTTCTGCTCCAGCAAAGATTTATCACCACAGAAACCCTATACAGGCTTGCTATGAGTTAAGAACTGATTCCAACAATAATAACAAGATCTAGACAGCTATAGAAGCAACTACTACTTCTGTCTAAGACTCACAAAACAGGAGAGTTTATAAAACATTTCTCAAGATTGCTGGAGAAAGGGTTGAAAAAGAAACTGGTTCTTTGCTTTATAGTGATTATTTTTTATTCCTCCTTCTCTCCAGGAGTCTACTTCGACTGCTGTGTCAGACAAATTAAATTTGTGGACTTCTGTGGGAAATACCGTCTCCCACTGATGCATTACTTGTGTTCCCCAGAATGTTCTTCTCCTTGCAGTTCTGCCTCTCACAGCTCCACCTCCCAAAGCGAGTCTGACTCAGAAGATGAAGCTAGTGTTGCTGCACACAGAATGCAGAAAGTTCTTCTTGGTTGACAAAAATGCAGTGTGTGTGAAACACAAAGACTGAGCAAAGATGGTTAGAAAAGAAAATAGAGTTTAAAGTTCACTAGAACTTTACCTCATTTTCATCTTGAATGTTTATTTATGTACTGGGAATGATATAAAGTATTCTGTGTTGTATCTTATATTGTCCATATGTCTATATTGCAGCACTATTCAGATAAATTCAGAGATGGTTACATAGGACACCTTCCCAAACTACTGACTTTGGTAAAGTAAGGGATATAATTTTTGTGTAGGATATTAAAACTCTTCTTTCCTGATCTTTTGTTCTACATGGTTGTTACCTAGTGTAATCCAGCAGTTGCTGTTAGTGTAGTGCCTTAATCCTAAAAAGGATAATAGAATTTTATTCAAGAAATAATGTTGACTTGCCTATAACCTGACATACTATGCAGAATACTTTAAAGTGTGCTTTATTAGAACTAGGTAAACAACTGTAGGTCTGACATCTGAACTCCTGCACCTTAGCTTCATGTTTTTGTTTAAACACTGAAATCCTTGCAAGTAAATCACTTTGACACTTAGTAGGAAGCCATAGTTTTGATCAACCTATTCATCCTAAGCAGAACATCATAAGACAGAATACTAGTTTTTAGCAGAAAAAGACAAAAAAGATGTACACGATGAAAACTTCTATATCTTACATTAAATGAGAAAATGAATTTTTGAATTTTTGCCTGTGTCTGTGTACTATACTGTAAATTTAAATATAACTGTTAGCTTGATTGCATCTAAACTAATGTAACTAGCCAAAGAAAATTCGGGGCAGAACTATTTATTTACAGTAGAACAGAGTTTCCAAAACTAGCTTTAACCATGGAATACTTATTGAAAATAATGGATTGATGAAGTGGAAATATGCCATAACAAATATTGTATCTTTAAAATATAGCAAAAAAAATAATTTCATTATTTGCTTTAAGAAATGACCCAATTTTTATTAAAATGAGTATATCTGAAATGCAATAAAAATTGAATGATAATACAACTCTAAGTTGGCATTATAAAATAAGATAAGCAGTACAGACTAGCAGTCATTAGATAATCAGCATATAATAACACAATTGTTGGCAAGCATTGCTTAAATCATAGAGCACAAGTCACACACACATCTTTTCTGATTTCTTACCATTTATGACTGGGGTACACCCAGTATGTCTAGATCACATGTGTTTAGATTGTTGTATAACAATGATATATACTTGTATTAGATATTTTCTCATATGCATATAATTTTATCTTAGAAGACAATATAGTGTAGAATAGTTGGGGTTTGTTTTTTTGTGTGTTGATTCATGAACAATCACAAGAGTTTCATGAACTGCAGTAGTGAACCGCTGCTATTGAGTGAATCCCTTCACTTTGTTATATATTATATAGTGAGATTCTTTATTTTTTTGATTCTGAAATTTTCTGTGTATAGAAATAATTTAGTAGGTTTCTAATGCCTAGCAAAGTAGTACATGAGTGATTACAACAGAAAATAGAAGCGATAAAAAGTAAGTGTACTTTGTTTACTTTCCCATATGACCCACAGTAAGCTTCAAACCACAAAGTTATAAAAGATAAATATGGCTTGTTGTTAAGTGCCATCAAGTCGATTCCGACTCATAGCGACCCTGTGTAGGGTTTCTGAGGAGCAGCTGATGATCTTGAACTGAGGACCTTGAAGTTTAAACTGACCTTGCATTAACCTGTAGTGCTACACCAGGACTCCTAGGCAGTGCTTAAATGGCATACCTAAAATATACTGAACATAGGTGACTTGGTTAAAAAAGAGTTAGTCTTTAGGTTAAGTATGTAAATATATTACTTAACCGTACATAACCCTTTGCTGCTTCCTTGAAAGAAAATATACAGTTGATCTTTTATAGACATAGATGGATTCAACCAGAAAGGGGGTTTTTAGCCTTTGCTATAGAATGTACATTTATACTATAGTGTTTTTCAACAAAATGTTTGTATGATTCTTTATTTGTGTAGTTGAAAATTTACTTTCCATGTTACTTTTAATGAAACTTACATTTTAGCTGTTTTTATTTTTTAACCTCTGACATACTTTTTTATAAGCGCCGCTAAGAATTTCTAAGATTTTCCCTGTTTCTTTCCCTACTTTTCCTCTTTTTAGACTGATGGTCATAGAAATTACCCAGAATGTAAAATATATGGGACCTAGTAATATAGAAGCCAGGTAATAAGTTCCCAGACCATATTTTATATTTAAAATGTCATAGACTAGTTCTTTAGTTGCTAAGTCACATGTCTGTGTTTGGACTACAGTTAATAAACTTTAACTGTTTTGTTTTTGTTTTTCAGTGATAAACTATGCAGTCTAATTTTCATAATGAAATAACATTTTTATATCACTCCACTTGTATGATTTTAGCAACAAAAACTTCTGTAGATAAAACTTCTGTGCAGCGAAAGCATTAATATTTTTAGAATGGGATATTTCAATACTAGTATTTGAAGTTGGGATGAAGAAAATGCACATTCTCTTAGTCTGTATTCCTGGAACCTGTTTCTCTCAGTATCCTCAAATGTGTCAGTAAAATACCTCTAGGATTTTAGAAAGCAGAAAGATTTAGCTAAAGCAATATTTTGCTTTCACAGTTCCGGGGCTTGGCTGACCTCAGGGCAAACTTATCAGGACTCTCAGTATTACCTGTTTTTTGAGTCCTTCAAGTAGATCTGAGGGTAATCATTCACGTTTTACTTCTAAGTATGTGCCAGAAATGTCTCTTGTTTTAAAATTCCTGTTATTTGGAACTTTACATTTGCCAAATTTAAAAGTAGAGACTTACTTTATAAACTGTACCTCAAGTTTCAGAAGATTTTGTGTTTATGTAAATAAAATTAAAGGGCTGTTAATAATAGTGCAGGGTAATACTGCAGACCAATTCTACCAATTATAAATACCAGTTTTAAACAAAAGGAGAGAAGGCAAAGGCTTACTGCTTGAGTTAAATTAAGTAAATCTTTAAAAGCCACAAGGGGCAGGGAAAAAGTTACAAGACTTCCGTGTAGAATTGAGACGAGACCCCAATAGTAGTGAATGGTTTTAAAATTACGTTTATAAGTGGCCCACTGACTGTCGTCTAAAAGCCTTTATGACCAAATTTGTTCATTTCCTTTTGGGAGATTGTTCATATGCCTCCACAATGAAACGTAAGCAAGTACCTTAACAGCAGATAACTTTGATCTTCCAAAGGGAGAAAGTGATACCTCATTAATCTGGAATATGTGGTACCATGGTGGTGGTGATGGTGATGTGCCATAGAGTTGGATCGGACTCATAGCGACCCTCCCTGTACAGGGTTTCTGAGGCTGTAAATCTACAGGAGCAGAAAGCCTCATCTTTCTCCTGTGGAACAGCATGGTACAGTAGGTACTCTTAATGTTTATCTTTTCATGGTGATTTTTAAAAACAACAAAAAAGCAATGCTAAGCAAATAATGAGTAAAAATAAAATTTGAAGCATTTTAGCAGGAGCTAATTACATAGGAAGCTAATAGTTATTATTCCTAAATCTTCATAAGACCTTTTTTAAAATCAGTGACAATATTTTAAGTAAATTAGTTATGCTGCATTTATGTAGAAATACCTAACTTTTACCTAACTAACCCTAACCCTCTTTCTTCTCAAAGTAGAGATTTTATTTTGTCAGTATTTATCTTACCTTCCCCTCAGTTGCTCCAAAATACAGTGAGCTTTTAAGTTGTGCTATATAATAGTATTGTATATGTTTTTAGGCACTGTAACCTGTAATACACAATTCTAATTCTCTCTGTATAGACAGAAATGCATGGTCTTCATTTCTTTGTACTACTAAATCTTGCGTAACATTAATCTAATGAGTTTATTAGCATTCCCTTTTATATTTTTATTATAGTCATGGTATCTTTAATGGTAACAGTGCCTTCACTTGTTACCAGAAAGTATGTGCCTTAAGCATGGGAACTATAAATTGTTTGTGACAGCCTTAGAGCCTTTGGATTTGACTTCAGGGGAAAAGACTGCTCCTTAGATACTCCATCCAAAATAAGCTTCATGTCTATGAGTCTAGGAGTTTCTGGGGAGGGAACCAGTATCCTGCACACTGCCACAGATCACAGCCACCAAGGATCAGCCTTCTGAAATAAAGTCAGTGAAAAAGTATATTCTCATATACGGAGTGGATTGTCTGGTACCACTGAAAGATTATAGCAGTTCCTTACCAACTTCCTGGGGAGCATGGTGGCTCCATAGGATACGCACTGGACTATATACCACAAGGTCCACAGTTAAGCCCCCGCCAGCCGTTTTGTGGAAGAAAGATGAGACTCTCTGCTTCCACAAAAGTTTCAAAGACTGGAAAACCCTAGACAACGTCACTGTGATTTGAAACTGAGTCCGTGGCTCTAAACAACAACAATCAGCTTCATATTTATGGTATCATAAAGATATCATGAAGTCTAGCATTTTTCCTTATTGGTTAGCTTGTTAAACTAAGGTAAAATAAGAGTATGTCTTAATATTTTGCATATAAATATCTCCATTCCTTTTTATCTTTCTTTGGCTCATTTTTATTGATGTAGAAAATAAACATTACACATTATTAAACATTCACAGGGTAATAACTAGTTTGGGTGCAACTAGATTTTTACCTAGCATTGGTCAGTCTCAATTACTGTTGTAAGGGTTAGTAATCAATCTAGTAACTAGTAAAGTACATTAGTATAATAAAAGTTATTTATGTACTGTCATACCAGCAAGAGACTGCATTCACCAGAATTTTTTTTTTCTTTGACTGAATGAATTGGGTAAGACTTTCATTCTAAATTCTAGTTAGGGGAAGAAACTGAGATAAGATTAACATAGTGACTCTGTTACTGAAAAAAGAGAAATTACTAAATTGGTTAGTTTTTCTGTGTACCCTGATTTTTTAACAGAATTCGTTCAGTAACTAAAATGGTTGACATTGATATATT